AAGCATCTCTACACAATCTCGGCTATTGGAAAAAGTTCCCGAGATGGAGGGAGGGCCGAGTGGTCAAGGGTGAAGTCCTTGCACTCTTTTTGCACCTTACGCATCAGCAGAGCTCCTTGCTGAACATGTAATTGGCAAAGAGAACTGACCTTCTAACGTGACCATGAACATAAACTGCATACGATTCCTCAAGGAGGAAAGTCGTTAGCGCAGTCAAAAGCAGATGTGAGTGGAGAAACGGTTTCACTATTTGTTAAATAGCACTGCAGAGGGATGCTGCTAAATACTACTACTGCACTGATAACCACAGACTGCTCTGATAAACCCTTAAAGACAAATCAGTCACCTTCCGAATGTTTTCATCCTCCAACGCGCACTCCGCCTGCGGAAATGAGACTATGCCAACGAATAGGAATTTCGATTAGTGAGTCGACCGAACCCAGCTCATCAACCAGGTTCAGCAGCCTACTACTACCTTTGTCCCTACTGCGTCACCTAGTAGGTAAGAAGTTTGGCAATCGACGTCTACTCGGAAATAGGATCACTCTCTTTTCGTAGCGGCCGCCTCAGTTCGAGAAGAATGGAGTCGAGATGTTGCGCGAGGCACTTGTCCCATTTATTTATAATGAGTACCTTGCAGACTCGAGGTCACGTTTAGCAGATGAAAATTCAGTCGGAATTGTTTCAAGACTCTCTTTCCAACCTAATAGTGCTCGCTAGCGTAAAATTTGTAAGATTGTAGAAGCCATGAGATGATGTCTCTGGTCAAGGGAAAGCCGTACTTTGGGTACGGGAAAAATCATGAGGAAAACGTCGCCCGAACACCAACGAACACCAATGCTGTCCAGGGCCGTGGCATTGCAACAGCTTAGGAAAAAAAAAGCGTTTTCCTTGATTATGCTTTCAAAGAAGAGCATGTTGGAGGTGAAACCTGACACTCCATCTTCCGACTTCTTGGCAACTTTTTAACAAGTATTAAAAAAGAATTGTAAATCGTGTAAATTACGGTCTGTGTTCAAAACATAAAAAATATGGCCAAAAGGAGTTAAATTGACTACTTCCGGATGGTGCTGAAATCTTCGGTCCCTTTTCAGCATGCGCACATATTTTACTTCAATTGAAAATTGTAGTGGCCCATTGAATGCGATGTGGCCTATACAATGCAGGGGCTAGCTGATGTGCAAGTCACTGTTCTTACCCTACCACACGAATTTGGTATCAGTTTACCATCATCAGAGAGCAGGTTCGGTTGGATGGGCGGGAGTCGATCCGGGCTTTGACCCCCGGACTGCGCGCGTACTAAGCGTGCCATTTGGCCTACACAACCTTCGCCTCACTTTCTAGATGTAGACATTAATTACACACCAACCTATTACCATACTTACTATTTACTGAACCATTACATTTTCAATTATTATTTTCATACTGAATTACTACAATTTCCCATGGTGGAGGAGAAGTAGTGGCAAGTAGGCCGCTTACCAACCGCGATCCAGGGTTGTAAGCCTTCTACTTTACGGGGACGGATGAACTGGTCTCGAAGGGTGGAATTACTGACTTTCACACGGACTGGCTCCGGCAAGCCATCGAATAGGCCACATCGCACTCAATAAGCCACTGCGATTCTAAAGGGATGCGTGTCGCATTCCAAAAAGAGACTGAAGGGCAAAGAACTCATCCTTTATCCTTTCCATAACGACACAAACACCCTTAAAAGACAGCCCCCGCGTTCAAGTGGTTCATGGTCATCCTTCCTTGTGCAAGTAGTACAGCCCCCAAGCTAGAAACTGTCCCACTCTCGCGACTCCACAACGAGCGAGGAGCAAGCTACAGCCCCTCAAAGTTCTAGTTCTAACGCCCCTCAGTTGGACCGCCTCACTTGCTAGATGCCCTCCGACGGAGGGCCGCTCAGTTGTTCTTTGTTGGGGCGGCGGGCATTAATCGGCATTCATGTCCTTTTCGCTGACCACGCTCGTGCCCATAAATAATTCTGCTTTCCTTTATTACATTTTATTCATTAGCAGCACATACAGTCAACTTCATCCCATCTCGCAAGGTAAAACGCGTAAAAATCACGAGCGACCCAATTTTCGTGGTGCAAAAGCTCGACGCACTAAACACACTAAAAGATGCACGCTACCGTAACCCTTAATTCGGACGCCGAGTTTTTAAAAGTTTATTTTCCTTTTCAAGAGTTTTTCTTCCGTGTTTTTGTTGTTTTCCGTATTTTTTTTGCATTGGATGATATCCATTACTGGGAGATGCGAAAAAGGGATTTGTGAGCCAGGGGTTGCACAATGACCGCAGGGCTGTGTGACTGACAGGGAGCGATCTTGTTTATGGTGTTCTTGAGAACTCTTCTTGCTTTTTCTCTTCTTTGGAGAATTACTTATCAGCTACTGTTTCATAATTGAAAAGCAACTATCCATGACACTTTTATCGCGGGAACTATCTTTAATCTTCACGAGGAACTGACCGTTGTTTCTCGATGAGGACGAGCAAGTCGTTCTGGCTCAAACCCATCCTCGCAATAGACATATCATCATCCAGCTGTGTTGGTAGTGGCGTATGGGAATGCGCCCCGCGACCAAGTGATGCAAATTTTTGCTCCATCACCGAATTGTAGTCTAAACAGAACTCATGAGAGAATATCACCCAAAAATTCACAACAAATCGATACCACAAAAACCGAAGAAAAAAGAAAAGCAAAGAAAAAACTACCTGGTGGAGGTGGTCGAACACGTTCAGTCGCTCTCAACGGTATGGTCGGCAGCGAAGTAGTGCTTACGTTCTGAGCTATCATAACCGGTTTGCCTTAAACAATAAGCCGTGTCAGATTTTTTTTGTAAAGACTTTACAATTTGAAATATTGCTGATAACTGAACAAAGCTTCTACCAGAAGGCATCGCTGGAGGCATGCTACTACTGGATACGCTTTGGAACGCCGCCAGAGGAGTAACGGAGGTTGGGAAATCGGTAGTCTTCTCTGAAATCGAGCATGAGTGAATGTCTTCGGACTAGGACCACGTGACGATCACTGGACAGCAAAAAAAATTAGGGAGCATGAACTACTGCAACAATGCGAGAGGGCTTGTATAACCAAGCGATGCGAAATAACCACGTTTCCTTTTCCTGCACACACAAAATAAGAAAACGAAAAACAGCAACTTTGCTGTTTTATAACGCCTTCACACAGCCTTATAACGTCCTATTCTCCTATATTGTCTCAAAACACCAGCTTAAGGCGTTGACTGATAGCCGTCTGTGGCTCCTTTACTGTCTATACACTGCGGGAGCGGGATTGAGCGGTAACTTAACGGCGCGCTACGACGCGTATTATCGCCAAGCGTGAACAGATCCGCAGAAGTTCTGCACCAATAATAATAGCAATAAAAATAAATCAACATTAACGTATCAAACTGCAGTAGGCTCCGAATTAAACAGGAATATACAAGAATCGACCGAATTTTTCATCAAAAATTTATGTAAGGGTCTCTACAAGGAAAATCCCCGACACAAGTACACTCCGGTCGTACGCAGTATAAGACCCGAAAATGACTAATCTGTATTTTCAGGGAATTTTTGGATTACATAAGTGAAAGAAAAGTTCCAAGAGGTCCCATAAGGTAGTTTCATGTTCCAAAATTTAGGACGGCAATTTTTAATCAGTGGCAGCTCAGTAGCAGAGCAAACTCACCGGAATTTCACACGGTCTTCACTTTACGCATCAGCACGCCAATATAAGTAAAAGTGTCGCAAATCAATGAGGAATAATTAGAAAGCGGAAACCATATAAAAGTTCAAATGCGTAGAAAAGTCAATAATTCATCAACTTCACTTTACGTGGCGTTATATTGACGGGCGTGCTGCTGTCATCTTCATCGTCAATCTTTTTCAAAACAAATGTCACATTTGACATATGTTCACGCCATTTTTCCAGCAGTTCAAGTGGCTTGTCAATTGGTGAAAGGCGACGCTCCTGAAGATCACTGCGTTTCGTGCTTAACGTAGTTGTGTGGAGGGGACACAAAGCCACACCCCTGCATCCATTCCCAGAAAGGTTTAGGCCTAGAGTACAGAGACCAGAGTCGGTGATGGACAGTTCTGCAGAGAATTCATAGTCTGCATTGAGGTGGTCTACGGGTTACTAGAACTCAGTTCCTCTAAAGACAATTCCAGCGATTAAGTAGAACAGATAGCAGGTGCTCAGTCATGAAGCAATAGCTCATCAAAAACTCATAAGTAGAGAAAGAAGCGAAAGAAAAAAGTTGGGAACATCACTTCCAGTCACACGACCTTCCCCCCGCCCCCCTCCCCAGCAGTTGGGATGGACTTCACCGGATGAAAGACAAGCCCCAATCAAGCGCAGGATTCTAGGCGGCAAACAACTCACGGGCAAGCAGGTCCCGGGGGGGGGGGGGGCGGGGGCGGGGGTGGAGGGGTCTGGCATAGAAATCGCCCTACGACGCTCCAGGCAACGCTATGTATACAAGCAGTTCCGCTTGTAAACTGTTGTTTTGTAGAGTGAAAGTAATCGTGGTTGCAATAATCACGTGTCTCTAGCTCCCTGGTCCCGCCATTTGAGTGACAGAAATTCATATTCACTGCGAATTCGGACAGCGATGTCAAATGCACGGAGGCATTGCGCTGATCACATGATCGCAAGAAGTCTTTAATCTCGTCAACTTGTCTGTTTTCTCTGCGCTCTCACGTTTGCAACCATTCTGTGATAAGTATGACCTCATTCATCACAATTTTTCAACTGGCTCATCCACCCTGTAGTTTGCTCCTTCTTAAAAAGTTCATCAGCTGCTGGCGACATGCTTGTCGCGCCTTTCGATGCCTCGGCAGCCGCAGTCCTCTGTTCTCTGCGGTCTGCCTTCCGCGTCAGGACCTACATCAAGAGTTCTAGTCGGGAGGTAATGCATTAAGCCTAAGCTTTGATTAGAGGGAGGGACAACAAGGCGCTGCCAACTGGTCCCCACCCCAATTACCTTAGCGCCGTGTATTAGAATAGAAGTAGAAAATTCTTTGTAGCATTCTTCACATACCCACCTTGTTTCGATATTTCTCTATCATAACAAATCGTCCTTTTTGACTGATTGCATGTGCCAGAGCATAGATGATTTGTGCACAAGTCGTCTCATTTGATACACCAGAAATACTTCGCTCAACCCCATCCACACTCACTTTCAACTCCATCTGAAACCGTTTGGTAATTCAAAGTATACACTCAGAAGAAACAGTAAGGTTAGGCACGGAAGAAAGTTGAAGGAAAGCCGTCAAAAAGAGTTCATAACGCAATTTCAAGCTTTGATTATCATTCTCAATAGGATTTTTTTGCTGAACTTACCGTTTGGGCAGCATTCATACCTTGCGTCGGCGTTTTGGGCGTATGGCAGCGTCTTGAGCGTTTCGAGAACACAGCAGCATTTGGGAGCGACTGCGAAAATATAGCTATCGATTCTAGCGTTTTGAGCGTACGTCGACGCTTAGAGTTTTTTCGCGGGCAGTCGCCGGAAACGCTGTCGCACGCCTAATACGCTGACGCAAATTATGAACTCCTTCAGCTAGTCGCCTTAGACCATGTTCATTCCTTCCGATCAAAAGAACAAGAGAATAGGAGAATGTGCGACAAATGAAAATAGAATCTATCTGGCATTTTGCGGGAATCGGAGAACAAATCGATTTCCTATCTACTTCCTCGACCCATGTCCTTTTCTTCTATTTAATTTGAACCTCAACTACTATGGGCCTTACTTATACTACTGATCAACTTATAACCCTTAAATTATTATAAAATATTCGATGCAAGGTCATATTCCATGTTTTCATAGCTTATTTTAGTCGAGGATTGTGGTGTCCTGAATTGACATTCTATTGTAAAAATTCACTTGTTTTCATCAATGCCGGGGTGTGGTGACTAAGGGATTGAACATCAGCTCCTTCTTTAAATACCTAGGTATTCTCATACCTTAACAAGTAAACTTACTCAGAGGAATACTATGACAAAACGCTCATCGCTTGCTCTCTCGAATCGAAAACTCTTGGGACCGGGGCTTAAAATTTTTTCGTTCCCTGTTTCATTTTTAAATCCATGGAAATTCTTGGTGTTATGAACGTGGTAGTTCCCCCGTAGATCCTCTGAAAAAAAATTACCAGTGACAACCTGGACAAGATAACCTGACCTTCCTCCCACCAACGGAGAGTACAACCTTTTCGAGAAATAGTTGTAACAATTTTACATCGCAGTAAGCTCATGACCTCTTTTCAGAACAATGCCATGACTTCCTTTCTTTCACATGGAGCTGTACCAAGTGCAGCAAACAGTGTAATAAAAGCAGGGTCCGATCACATGACTAGCCGAAGGGTTCACGGACAAAAAAAAATGAAAGGCTAGCGGTATCGATGTTGAGGAAATACCCCTCAGCTTTACAATACTGATACTATCAGATTACATGATGACGCCACATAAATCCTTTTCCATTAAAATTCACTCCAACATGAAACAACTGTAAAAAAATGATCCGAAAGCCAGCATCAGATAAACAAAACTGGTCAAATCAATTGATATTTATTTATGTTCTACAATGGGCAAAGAAAAGGACAATATATACCATCTGCCAAAGGCACATCGATATAAGATATAACCGTCCTTCGTCAACAAAGTAAACAAAGAGCTCGACAGCGCTGAGTTCCGACGGCTGCGCGCGCTCTTCTCACTGGAGCACATTTCCTTGCATCTGCCAACACTTGCTTAATGAGAGTCAGAGTAACCCGTAAATAGTTCCAAGTTCCAAGCGACCGAGAGACTTTAATGTAATTGAGA